AGCGTTTATTTATTTAACCATTAATTCTATATGAATAAACATTTAGAGGCTGATAAAATAATTGAGCCGTGTCACGACAAAACCAACATAGTGGGTTTGCGACCAGCATGGATCCAGACCAGCCTGCGCGTCCGCGCAGTCTGATCAGGATCCATGCTGTTCGCTAGCAGTTTCTTAACTTGTTATAGGGTCTGTAAGCGAACAGCATGGATCCTGATCAGACTGCGCGGATGCGCAGGCTGGTCTGGATCTATGCTGGTCGCAAACCCATTATGTTGGTTTTGTCGTGACGCGGCTCAATTAAAGCTTAAGAAACTTTTATATAGTAAGTTGGTCCTTACCTGTGTCCTTGCCGGATTGACAACTCTAATTATGAGTTAGTTCCCCGTATTAGGTCTTTATAAACAAAGTTCCAATCAACAGTTTTAAATGCCATTATAGAAGAAAAAATCTCTTAACTTTCATTTACAACTTTGGAGTTAAATAAGGACCCCCATGATTCCTATTAAGGAATTTACAAAGTCGTAATTAGAGTGAGAAAATAGAATATTTTAATTTGTTCTATGAAAAAAAATCCTAATTAAATTAGACGTTATTACTTATAATAGCCTAATAAGGAACTGTTACTCCTAACAATTATTTCTTTTTCAGAAAATGATTAAATAGGCCTACCATTTAATGAATAATTCCGAGCAAAAAAAAGTAAACACACAAGTTTACGCAGAAAATGTCTCTATTTATTATGACAGATGCCACTACGAATATTTTAATTTTGTAGATTTTCAGTATAAACAATTTATTGTTTGTAAAATTGAGATACATATTAAAGAAACCTTGATAATTTTCAAACGCATCATTCAAATTTTCCACCTTAAACGGTAAAATAATTATAGAAAATTAGAAATATCACGTAATAGTTTTTTGTTCTTAATTAGGTGTCACTCTGACTAATTCCCTAGAGGTAAATCCGTCAGGTACCGGTAAACGGTATTTAGCCAGGTTTTCGAAAAGGTCAATTAACCAATCATGTACGGTTTACAGATCACATGCTCCTCCATCAGTAATTTTTCTCACTTAGATGGGAAGAGGCCTTAGCCTCTTGCTTTTGGGAAAAATCATCGCTAAAATAGCTGATTTGGGAAGAAAAAAAGCTGGATTAAGTTCAGATTTTTGGGAAAACTGCATGATTTTAAAGAAAATTTCAATTGGGAAGAGGCCTTTTTTCGGAGTCTGTTATATTAGTAGGAAAATCACTGTCCATGTACCGAAAACAGGTCACGTGCTCCTCCATGCCTCAAAAGTTAAACGCGTACCAATACCCTGCGGTCTCCAGACCGCAGGGAATGGAGACCGCAGGGAACTAAGATGTACAAGCAAATCTTAATGTGTGAAGGCTACTATTTCTTGAAGTCTAGATGTAAGGGATAAAGGATTTCTTAAAGCCGTTTTACGAGAAATTATGGTCCAATTTATAATTTATTACTCCTTTTATAAGAAATAAAGTCCTAATTTGGAGAGGAAAAAAAACTAATTAGGACTGTCTGGTGTCTTATGTAAAGATTTAAAAATTCTATAAGAGAAATATAAGCCTAAGAAGGATTTTTTTGTAAATAATTAAAAGCTATGAAGTTCAAATTCGGATTTTATTTATTCTATTTAGGCTTTTGAATCTCTAATTAGGTCTTATAGAGTCCTAGCTCATAATTAGGACTTAGATTCTCCTTATTAAGATTTGATTTGTCAACTCCTAAGTATAACATACAAAGTCTTATTATTTCTCCTAATTAGGGTTTAAAAATTCCTTATCAATAATAAAAAAAGTATTAACTAGGCTTATTTTTTTTCTTAATAAGGTAAAAATGCTAATTATTCTTGAATATGACAGAGTTGCAGTAAGTGTTTTTTGTTTTTTCCTTATTTATAGAAATAACAAAGTCCTATATAAGTTTATATTTGACGTAGTCCTTGTTAGACTTGTATTACTATTTTTTTTATTTTTTTTTTTTTTTTTTTTTTTTGTTCATGGAACATTAAACTAAGGAAGTTCCTTACCAAGACACTTCTTAAAGTGTTGTCATTTTTGTTTGAGATCTATCTTCGACCGTGCGACCACATACACGCATCGAGGACATAATGGTAGGAAAATGACCGTGCGACTACATACACGCATCACAAGATTCCATTTCTCATACGGAAAAAGGGTCAAAGAACTGTCTACTTTTCACACGTGTCCTAAATTGGTACATATATACAACTAAAGTTACACAAACCAAACGGGTTGTCACTTTTCGTCATTTTTAGTATGCTATGAATTTTTTGAAAGATCATTTATAATTTTTAGGGAAATCTTGAGTTTACGATTTTTTTCTGCTTTTCATGTGATGTATATTTGAGAATTAGTTTATTTTTGCAAGATATGAACGTTTCAAAAACGTTATTTATGCATTTAATATGGGGGATATAATTATTTCACACTTTGTTTGCAAATATTAACCTCGAGGCATTTTTACGGTGGCAAAGAGGTGACATGTACAACTTTTCTTTTTCTTTTTTCTTTTTTTTTAAATGTCATTTTCTTTTTTTTATCTCGTCCTCATGATATAATATGTCTCGTTAAGTAGTCATGGGAACGAGATAAAAAAAAACCAAAGAAGTACAGTTTAAAAAAATATTGCATTTGAAAAAAAAATGTGAATTGATATGAAAAAGAATAATGCAAGGTAGCTATGTTGAGGGAACGACTTAATATCTCGTTAACGTGAGAGAAAGCTGTCTTGTACTTACAAAATTTTTAATCGTTCCCACGACATAAATATCTCGTTCTTACAATTAAAACAGCCAATTAATTTTTAACAGGGTTCCTTACAGGCCAGCGCGTTATTTTTCTGAGAACGGAATGCGCGAAACATGACAGTACGACAGCACAAAGATGCCAATGCGACAGTACGATGGAGAAACACGACAGTACGATGATGACAGCCCATCGTTCTGTTACCATCGTACCGTCGTACTGTCACCATGATATTATCGTACTGTTATCATCGTACTGTCACCATCGTACAGTCGTACTGTCACCATCGTGCCGTCGTACTGTCATCATCGTACTGTAGTACTGTCACCATCATACTGTCGTACTGTCACCATCGTACAGCCGTACTGTCACCATCGTGCCGTCGTACTTCCATCATCGTACTGTCGTACTGTCACCATCGTACTGTCGTGCTGTCATCATCGTACTGTCACCATCGTACAGTCGTACTGTCATTGTCGAAGCATTTCACATTCACTCAACATGGCTTGTGAAACTTAGGACTTATACCGGCGTTTTATAAATAAAACATCTTTACTCTATCAAAAATCGAAAGTCAACAGAATCAATATCTATCTTCATAAATAAAGAGCTTTATGACTGAGTCTTCATGATTGAAAGCACTTGTCCCTCCCCGCTGTGGGTTCCAATCCCGACGTGGACTTTGGATTCTTTCATTTGAGGAGGTTATCCAGCTAGCTTACGGAACGTCAGTGAAATGAGACTTTGTTACACGATCAACGTTTTCTTTCGTGTTTTTATTTAATTATGCGCATGCATAAAAGGAAGTCGATAGTACGATGATAACAGTACGGTGGTGACAATACGACAGTACGATGGTAACAGTACGACAGTACGATGGCGACAGTACGATGATGACAGTACGATGTACGACGGACTGTCACTATCGTGCTATCTGCTTCGTCATCGTACTGTCGTATTGTCATAATCGTACTGTCATGTTCGCGTTTTCGTTCTTAGAGAAAACGCGATGGCCCTAACGGAACACCGTTATTTCAAGACCGAAAAATGGTTAATTTTATATACCTCAAACTATAGTAATACTAGTTCAATTATTTATGTAAATGACATTATACCCAGACTTTATATTGTTTTGATTAGGGAAACGTGTCCAATATTATTAAGAAGTATCTCCAGTCTATGGGCAGTTAGTCTATAGTAATAATATTGACCTTATAATTTGCGTAATATAAATAATCATAATAAGTTAATAACCTACCTGCAGTAAATTTGTGTCAGAACTGCAGCAATCTGTAATCAATTACACCGGTAATACAGTGTGGGTTTGATAAATATTTTCTTAGAATATTTTAATCTTTGATTTTACGGTTTATTAAGACAGTTGATACCATTGCATTATATAGAATTTTGTACTTTGATAATAATATTTTAAGCTTAAACAGAATTAAGCTTGACTATGTATGCTTTTTTTATGAAATATCAATTTCTCTACTTTAATTTCGGTGTATGTGCATTGAGAATTAAAATGTGCAGCGCGCTTCTCCATTGACATATTTCGTTTCAAAACTTTGTTCATGCGTGTATGCGTAACTTCATATTTCTGAAATCAGCAATAAATTCAAAACCTTAGTAAATGTATCTATGAATTACAATAATGCGACAATTGACTATCTCGTAGGAGATATAAGTAGTTGGTTCAAAAATATACTATCTATTTGCTATCATATCAATAAATGAGTACATAGATGTTTAAACTTTTGTATAACTAACTATAAAATTTGAAGATGTTAGCTTTAAACTGCAGACAACGCCTTGTATTGATTGTAATCACTCTCTCCTCTTGCACAAGAATATATACTTTTTAATTCTAGACAAAAAATATTAATTGACATTGGTCACCTTTTTGATACCCTAAAATAAATGTCTTACAATCAACCTTCCAATCAACATTATGACCTTTTAACAGTTATTGCACATATGAAATAAAAGTTTTAATATCAGAACAATTCCAGAATAAATGAGATAAAGTCTCTTTTTCTTCTTTGCAAAAAGTGCATTTATCAGATTGTGTCAAGTTCATTTTTACATTAAATAGTTTGTTAACAGCATTTTTAGTGTTTTGATTACTAATGTTCTCAGTTTTATTGTCCAAAATATATCAACTGTTTACTAGAATTTAATAATAAATTTTATATATGACATCTTTCAGATAGAGGTTATCCGAAAACACCCGTGCGGAGGCAAAATAAAACCATCTCAGCAAATGTTTCACCAGGTAATATAAACGGTCGCAGATCGCACACAGTCAGCCCAGGCTCTTCAAGTCCAATATTAAGTAATCGAAAACCAGTAACCTCAACATCGGAACAGACCAATTCTCCAGGTTTGTTAACAAGGGGTCAACGATCTTTGACCTCAACACCTGAAAATTCATCGACCCAACGGGAGCTGAAGAAATTGGAAGACTATTGGACGAGACATAACCCTGTAAAAGAAGATTCGCCAAGACTCAGGAGCACCAGAAAAGTGATTTTTAATATTAAGGATTGTTTTCGTGAAAGAAGCCCAAAAACACTTAAACATGATGTGAAACTTCAACAACCAGTCATTGGTAATGAGCACAAAAGTTTACCAGAATCTCCGATACCGGGCTTGCTGCTGACAACTCCAAATACTGATGACAGTCATACAAGTGTACAATCCAATATTTCAACTCTTAATAAGAAAATATGTTCTGATAATACGAAAGTATTAAAGGATGTACATGAAACCTTCCAAATAGAGAAAGAAACTAAGTCAGTTTCAAAGACTGTGACTCATGAATTTAAAACAGATGGAAATAAAAAAGATTGCCAAAAAGACGTAGAACCAAATGATGTAGGTGTAGCAAAACATGATGTAGCAGACACCGACTCTAGTGACTCGGATGATGATGACTATATTCCACCAAGAAAGAAACTACGGAGTGAAGTCAGTCAGGATGAACTTTGGGAAGGGATCCCGCTAACGATATCCTTTAAAAGATTAGCACCAATACCAAAAACGTCAGCTGCTAAAACGGGTGAGGACAGCGTGCAAACATTAACAGCCAGTGAAAACAAACCGGAGGGGGAGACAAAATCAAACAAAGCTGAAAAAGATGATGATAAAATTCTTATACCGTTGACTAAACCTGTTAAGGATCGAGTTTCTACACACACGGACATCTCTTCTACAGAACAAGCTTTTGAAACAGGCATTAAACGTAAAAGAAGTATGCGTTTAAAAGAGAAATTGGCTGGAACCCCAAGTAAAAGCAAAACTTCTTATGTTCCACCTGAAGAACATTCCCCGGTTGTTAGTATTACACGTATTAATTGTTCGTTTGAACCAGTAAATAAAAGTCCAAAAACACAATTTGAAGATGGTACAGACTGTGGTTCAAATAGTGAATTGAATGAAACTATTTTGTATGCAAATAAAGATGAAGCAGAGAATTGTGACAGCAAAAAAGCTAAAGACTGTCCCGGTGAGAATTTGTTAACCCTTACATTATCTCAGATCTTGTCAGCCGACAACAAATATGATATATTTCAAGAAGAAATGTCGGAAGAAAAAATTGATCAAGGTAAAAAGGGCAAAGATAATGAAGCAATAGAAGTAAATAATAAACTATCGACGGCAGTACTGACCGATGTGGCACCAAGCATTTCAAAAACAATAAATGATATCTTTAAAGAAATCAGTGAACCGTGTTGTCTTCTGAAAGGGCAAAGTAATGAAAAGGATGTTGCCAGAGTTGAATCTACCTCAGAAAATCCATCAAGAATAACAAGAAGTTCAAAAAGACTTTCAGGTAATAGTTATGCTCAGTTTAGTTTCAAATTGTATCAAATTGTAATTACTGAATAAAATTGTTTAGGATCTAGACTTCATAAAAGGTTAATATTTTCCGGATACAAATTATCAAAATCTGTTGGTGTAAGAATATTTTGTTATAATTTTTGCAAGGGTATTGTTCTGTTTCTATGTTAAATTTTAATTATATATAAATTACGTATTTCTAAACACTGTTTTGGAGGGTATTTTTTCCTTTGCTGCTGTTTTAGGCATTGAAAATGAAAAATTAGATAATGATACACCGGAAGATGAATACAGCAAATACAGAAAATCCAATGAAATAATTTCTGACGTTGATACAATAGAAGATGAAATACCACCAACGAAATTAGCAGAAGAATCTGTTACTAGTGAAACAAATATCAAAATTGCATCTTCTAAACACAAATTGTTTACGAAGAAACAAAAGAAATGTGCTAAAACCGTCCCTCCTTTGAGAATTAAGTTAAAGCAAACCACTAATAGCAAATTGAAGGGTCAAGGTGTGTCAAAAACAAACCAGAAAAATGCCAACAAAGAAAAGGTAAGGCGAAGTGATAAAAGGGAACAGAAGATCGTTTCATTAGACAGAGAGCAGTCTTCGTCAAAAATACGCCCTTCACAGTCTTCGGAAAAAGAGGTTGCTACGCCTAAGAATACGAAAAAGAAAACAACAAAACAACGAAAATGGTATACAAATTTAAAAAAGTGCTAGATTTTTAAAAAAAAAAATTCAAGCCTTAATTGATATTAAACTTTTCCACAGAAACGTTATTCATACGAAAGTTGATGATAAATACACATTGTGTAAGTTCAATTATATATGTGGCAAAAAGTTAATTTTTTCTGTCATCTATTTTTAGATATCCATTGTCAAACTTATAACAGTTATCGCACACGTTCTAGGAATAACTCAGGTCGCCATACTAAACTTTTGAACGCAATAAAATTTTATATGTCATAAAGTTTCCTTTTTTTATTAGTTTATGTAAATAAAAAGTTATGCAATGGATAAAAAATGTAGGCTACGATGACCTACCAACATTAAATCATCCTGAAATGAGGCGCGTCACGACAAAACCAACATTATGGGTTTGCGACCAGCATGGATCCAGACCAGCCTGCGCATCCGCGCAGTCTGATCAGGATCCATACTGTTCGCTATCAGCTTCTCTACTTGTAATAGGGTTGGTAAGCGAACAGCATGAATTCTGATCAGACTGCGCGGATGCGCAGGCTGGTCTGGATCCATGCTGGTCGCAAACCCATTATGTTGGTTTTGTCGTGACGCGGCTCAAATGTTTGTTTCATACACATAAATTGTATATGTTGTCAAAAAGAGTCATAACCCAATACTCATTAACCTAAATGTTATATATTTTATGAATACATCTAAAAGCTAAGTTTAACATTTTTGTACTATAAAGGTCACCAGTAGCAACAAGTACTATCACGTTGAGGCTTAACAGTGAACGCCGTCTGTCGGCAGCCGGAAGTCTTCTGTCCAATCCAATGTTGAACAAACACGCATGCGTACTATGGTCTAGGTGAGTCCAAAGTTTAGCTATTGAAGACTATGAAGCTATTTATCTGTTGCCTGTATTGTAAAAATTCATTTTTTTTATTTTATTTCATTTTTTTAATTTTTTTATTTTGAAAGGAAAAATCTAAAATACCTGTATGAAAAATAGTATACTTCCTTAAGAGCGGACGGCGCATGCACGTGATTATTGCTAAACGGTCAAAACCCTACTTAAAGTAGCAGCAAAATAATTATTTTGTTCTGGAATTGTTCATCCTGTTTATGTACATTATTTATTTGTGTTAAATAACAGAATGATTTTTATGTTTCATCTTTTTTTTTTTGAAAATCCACCATAAAAATATGAGAGCAACAAAATTTCACCATTTATAAATTCTATAAAATATTTCATTACGTGTAGCTTTATACCCTTTTTTCAAATGTTTAAGCTATAATTTCAAATTATACGTATTATGATTTTCAGCAATTTAATTCACTTACTGTCTTTTTAACAAACATAAGTGAAAACAAAAAACAAAGATAGATTTTAAAACTTTATTAATTTATTTATACTAGTATATTCTTCGTTGTTGGGGTAAAGTTATGCCACATAGACTGATTGTATATCAAGAAAGACGCAATAACTTGTAAGAGTGATATATATAATGCATTTTCACTTTACTTTCCAATACGTTAAGATAAATGTTTTGTACCTTTATAAGTGAAAATCGCCGGCACATGCAGTTGTCTAACCCTCACGCTACTTTGAGTGAACTGGATGCTAAACTTAGCCGGAAATGGGACAATCTGTCAGAAAAAGAGAAACTGAAATACTTCCAACGTGCAAGGGACGCCATCAAAGATGAAAACCGACATTCAAACAGACGAGTTCAAGGTAATTTATTTGTTTGTTTTTCAAAAGTGGAAGATTAGTCAAATTTGTATAAACATTTATGTTTTCAGCAGCATCTAGATCTGCCAAGCATAACTGCAAAAAATTCAAAAAATTTCTGGTGCAGGGTTCTTTAAAGACTGAAGTTTAGACTGTTTAGCGAAAAAAAATGTGCCAACACTCAATGGTTTCATTGATCTTAAATAAAAATGAGACGGTCAGTTTGAGTGGAATTATCTTATTGGTTACATGTACCAATGACACAAAAAATCAAAGATATGTCAGTAATCTCCAGTGTGGTAAGTCCGTTCATTTGTTCTTCTGTTCGCCTGTCTGTCCATTAGAATTTTATGCCGACTCTATATCTTTGAAACCATTTGAAGGATTATCACGATTCATGATACTTAAGTTTTTTAGAAGATAAGCATACTTCACATTTTAGGCTTTTAAATGTTACAGTTGAATGTCATTCATATGTCATGCAAAACCCACATTCAAATGCTCCAGTTCAAGGTCACAGTTCATGCCCAAAGTTTTGGATCATTGATTACTGGTGCACACTCTATTTTTGTTTAACTTTTGGACAAATCTTTATGTGAGCCGCGTCACGACAAAACCAACATAATGGGTTTGCGACCAGCATGGATCCAGACCAGCCTGCGCATCCGCGCAGTCTGATCAGGATCCATGGTGTTCGCTTACCTACTCTATTACAAGTAGAGAAACTGATAGCGAACAGCATGGATCCTGATCAAACTGCGCGGATGCGCAAGCTGGTCTGGATCCATGCTGGTCGCAAACGCACTATGTTGGTTTTGTCGTGATGCGGCTCATATCTTTATGTTACGACAACTTGTAGAATGCTCATGCCCTAATTCTTTTATTGGCTGTCCTTCATATTGTGCTTCAACACTTTCTTGTCCACTTTCTATAAGTTTATCTGAACAACTTAAGTGATATTCGTGATACTTAAGTCATATGTTAATGTCACTGAGATGTGCAGAGGTCGCATAAAGGTCAATGTCATAGTTTAAAGTCAAATATTTGGGTGAACAATTTGTTTCCACTCAGTAACTCCTGAACTGTTTGAGAGATTATCATATTTATGATGCTAGGTTCAGTAAAACATTGTGAAGAGATCACATTTCCAGTATAATCAATATATTTCAGATTCCTCCAACAGTGAGTCCGATCCTACAAGAAAATACACAGAAGAGTGTTCTGTTGAAAATTTCCAGAAATTAACGCCAGCATTACAGATGAGCGAGATAAAGAAATGGCTGAACTTTTATAACGAGGTATCTCCTGAGTCCTGCTCCACGGTTATCAGTACATTTAAAGGTAACTTAATGACAATGTTAGACGTTTAAAAGTATATTCAAATCTTAAGTATCCATAAGATTGTTAAGAAATTGGCTGTTCCAAATTAAAAATATGGATACGGCAGGTTATGAGCTCCGGATATGACGCCTGTAATGGTTATAATGCTTACTAACTGAAAGGGCTTAAATTAAAAAGAAAATATTTAGATATAGAATACACCTGTTTTGATTTCTTATGCTAATTGTACGCTTTGCATATTTTCAATACCCGCCTTGTACATTTTTTATATCTGGTATGTCTTTGAATTGTGTATCATAAGCAAAAATGCGATTAGATTTGTCAAAAAAAAACTCATATGTTCTTTTTCTAAATAAGAAAGATATCCAAAAGTATGATTATTACATTTTATTGCCATAAAAAGGATGCGTTTTATTTGTTCACAGAAGCTCTAGTTGAGGAGAACAAGAATAAAGCAGAGAAAGAAAAATTGCAAGAAAAATCCAAAAATAAATCAAAGAAAAATAAACAAAAGAAGAAAGAGGAACGCGTTACGAACATCGATAGTAACGCAAACTACAGAAAACTACTTTTTGAAAAGATTCAGGACCAAAAAGAAAACGTAAAAGGTATTTTCTATTATTTTTGACTAATAATTGGTACATTATCTTGCATTGTAATTAAATGAAATACAGACTGTACAACTGTCCTATTACTTCTACAGTGGACGTATTGCATATTGTTACATTAGCATATAGTTAGATCACAGGAGCATGGTATTCTGCCGATAAATAAGAATTAATATGATATAGGAAGTACATATTTAACTTTAATTCTTATTTATTGACAAAATATCAACAAAGTAGTTAGAGTATTGTCTGTTTTAGCATAATGTCAGATCACAAGGTTTATTGCATATCTGTTTCATTTGAAAAACGCATTGTTGAGACAATTCAACGTAACGAATGAACACATGGACTTAGTTGTTGGTGTTTTCGTGTCTTTTGTGTGTGTTTTTTTTAGATTGTGGGGGGGGTTGTTGTTTTATTTTCTTGCCATAATATTTCTTATTGCGTATGTAATTTATGTATGTGAATATGTTTATAGAACAAGACCGAAATGTAACACCACATACAGTACATTTTCTCTATTTATTAAGACCACAAACGGGGCTGACTCAAAGTAGACTTAATAGTGAATTACTGAATAAGCCACTTTTAGAATTTTTGCAGTCCAACTAAACTTAATGTTTATGTACTCATGTCTCAGACTTTGATATAGGGGTTTTATCTTTCTTTATATTATATTTATATTTCCATGATACAATTTTTGATAGACTGAGCTAGAATTGGTTGTTAGTGTCATAAGAATGCAAACTAAAAGAATCCTAGAGGTTTAACAGTTTTTTCCAAAATATAAAGTATTCGTTTTGGTGCATAATTTCATTTGCTCAATTTTATAACATTCACGCAGATCAGCAGACTTCTGGACTTTCTTTTATTCTACAAAAGAAAAGTTGTGTTTTTCTTCTAATGAATCTTTTTTATATTTATATGTTGTCTAAGAATTTTTTTCTTAGCACTTTTTTCTTTTTCGCAGATGTTTTGAACTTGAAGAAAAAAGAGCAGTCTAAATCAGTTTTAGAAAGTTACAGCAGTTTAGTCAAGCGTCTGGTGTGCGGTGATGTATGTCATTTTGTAGGAGATGTTAGATCTGATAGGCTTACTGAAACACTGTTTGCCTTAAGAGCATTAGAAAAAGATAACAAATTAGCTGTGACTGGAAATGTTGCTCGAGGTGACAAGGAATATGAAGATATTTTAGAAAGGTTGCAATTTTTTGTGTGTGTGTTTTACAGTGTATATTTGAGGTTGTTTATATGTTTTACTTTATAGTAATAGGTTTGTTATTTGGCTGATAGTTTTGTCATTATATAAGAAATCTTTGCATCGGGATTCACTACTTGTGACTCTATCTTGACTTTTAATTTATATATGTACATATTCTTCATACAATACTATGTGACTATATATTTTATCATATGAATTATTACTTTATCCTTTGAATTTGAAATTTCTAAAAGGAAAGTGAAAGAAAAGGAAGACTGTCTTTCCAAGTGGCAAAATTTTTTTAGGTTAGTAACAATAATCATTTGAAAAGGAAGTTTTTTTCCAAATGCAATTTCTGCTATAAGTTTAAATTAAGATTCAATTTTTTTTCCAGATTATATTCCTGGAATAGCCCAGACAGTAAATCATTAGTGTGTTCACTTGAAAATACTGAGGTAGATGCAGCAGAGATAGATAAAAAGTGCAAAAAGGTAAAAACTTATTTAATGGTGATAAAGTTACCTAACGTTGTTGTTTAGTATGGTCCTTCCGAAGGATGACACTTTATCCAGATTTTTACGTATTTAAAATGTTAAAGGTTTCGAACCAGGAATTTGTGTTACTTTATTTTGTGTAATTTACGTAAAAAGTTACGTCAGACATGGGATATTTAGTGAAATGTTCTTCTAAACTTTTATGACAAACTAAAAAGAAATTTTTCTAAAATTGAAACAGTCTTTTTTTAAAAGGGGAAACAAAGCATTTTTCAAAATACGTCAAAATTTAAAAATTTTTCTGTTTTTAAAAAAAAAATGAAAAAAGAGATTTTTGCATTTGAATTTTCTGCTAAATTTTTAAAATTTAAATTTAAACCAGATCTTTAAAATTTCCCATCACTTCGCCAAATGGGTAGAAAAACCCTTCCTGATATAAATTGCCCCCACAAAAGTCGAGGCCCAATCTCTTCACCCATTGTGTTTTTGGGCCCATTTAAAAAAACACCCCAATTTAAATGTACTCCCCAGAGAGGTCTTGGACAAAAATTTATGAAACAACAACCAAAAAATAGGTTTTCCGAAACGCATTTTCTTTAAATTGGGGTCTAACAAAATTGTGCCAAGTCCAACAATTTTACCTCCGTTAGGAAGCAATATAGATAAGTTAGCTGGGAATAGGAATCAGAATTGTAATGTAGTTTTTACAAAACTTCAAAACCCAAGGTCATCAGCTGTAACAAAGGTCAATCTATTAAACTGAGCCTATATACTATCATACTTCGACATAGATGGAAACAAAGTTTATCTTTGCTCATATGCGATGATATTATAGTATAAACTTGGCAAAAATTAAGATATAACTGCAAATTTTAATAATACTTTAGAAAAGTATGTATACATTGTTTTGTTTGAATATACATGTTTAGAACTTATATTTTTCGTCATATAAATTGAACATTTGAAGCTGTTCTTATATTAAAATAAGGGAGAAAACTCTTACTGTCTTGTACGTATTAGTGAAGACGAGTGTGATAGCCTACTGTGATATTTCAATGTGCACAAATTTCTGTGATAAAATCTGTTTTTATCCATGGTTTACTTCCTTTTTAGATGAATTGCAATATGATATGTGCTTCGTGATTTTATACAAAAGAGTTTTTTCTTATATTTATGTTCAGATTTTGTTTTAAACATTACCGCGTATATGCTGATTAAATCAACATGTCAAACTTTATGTTCAAGTGATAAAAATGTATTGTTTTAGTAAATTTTGTATTTATAAACTTATCGTTTACTTTTATGTAATATGAATATAAATAAAACCTGATATCAGTGAAATATTACCTAAATTTTATTACATGCAGTACATACACTAATCATTGTATCTATCCAAACCCATACTTTTTTCAGGGTGGAAACAGTTTTTTTGTACTGTTTTTGTTGTTTAATCGCATTGATGCAATTTAAAAAATTTCATTTTAATTTTCCTTAAAAGGCCCCAAAAAAGCCTCAGAAAAGCTTTAAATTTTTTTTCTTTTTAAATTTTTTAAAATTTTTTGGGCTTTTTTGACCAATTTCCCCAAATTACCTGAACCATCATTTTAACTGTTGTTTGTTTGTTTGTTTGTTTGTTTCATTTTACGCCTTTTCCTAACAATATTTCAGTCATATAGGCGGGTAGTTTCCTAACCATCGTTCCTGCAGAGTTACACCAGTACTAGACTACCTACCTACGTGCTAAACTACCAAAGCATCTCCCGGGGATCGAACCCACGTCAGAGAGGTTACTGGATTAGAAGTCATCGACTCTAACCCCTCGACCACGGAGGCGGTTTGCTTTGTGGCAATATAAACAGAAAAGTGATTAAGTGAATATTTTGTATCGAAGTCAAAATACTACTTCGTTTAAATTTTGCTTCTTTAATGACAAATTATTCCACATTTAACTCCACTTTCTTTAGGTTGTAAGCATCTTACATTCTCTAAAACCATTATTTAAACATCATAATGTTCATGTTTGTCCTTGTTAAAGAAGTTAAAAAGCATTTGTTTCTGAGGCATAATGTGCATTTAAAGTTATATATCACATAACCGTGTTAAGTGATTCCTGATTAAAAAATATTGCAAATAATGTAAGTAATTTACAACTTACAAACGGCACTTAAAATCTACGAAAATTACCAAAAATACGTCAGAATATGCAGAAATAACCATTATTGCGTCTGTCACTCAGTAGAAATACGGTGTATATACTGCAAAACCGGTCATTCATTGCATATAAGATGTAAATCTTTTCTTGAAGTGTGAGTATTTAACTTTTCTTCCTAGGACAATTTTTTCTCAAAATTTGTATTTTTGAATTCTTTGGCTCATCTGAAAGTATGCAGTTTTAAGACAAAAATAATAGCTAATAATCCTTGAATGATTGATTCTCAAAAAAATATCTACAATAACTTTTAATATTGAGTATATATAAAAATGTCGCAGTTTAAAAACAATACTTGATATCATCTGTTATGAAACAACTATATGATATTGACAAGTCTAGATATAAACAAAGATAACATTACACCGACAGTTGATGTGTAACCTTGGCCAACTTCAATATATCCTAATGATAATTATTATCCACTGTGATAATTGAAGTCAACATGATACTTAACCATCCACCTTGTATATAATGGACTTTCCTTGCTTTCATTATGGAACAGTCCATTCAAAGTTTAAGGGATTGCAAAACTAAAATACAAAAATAAAGAGCCTGTTCAGACTACATGAATCCGCAGGCTGGCATGGATCTATATATTGGTGACAAAGTTTAACCGATTCCAGCGGGTTAAAGTTTAACTTGATAGTGCAAAGTTTATCTTACTGTACTGGTTGAAGAGATAACACCGATACTTAATGACAAATTTTTGGCATTTTCTTAAAAAATTCTATGTACATTTATAATTCTCGCCCTCCAAAACATACGTCAGTTTAAAATATTTATGCACTAAAAAGGGACTGCCAACCAGTATAATGAATCCATTGAATCGTTTGCCAATAAGACATTGATTTAACAATAAGATTTTAAATATGCATGCATAAAGAGTATGCAATCAGAAAATGTGATAAAGCATTGCATACCAATACTAATTTAGAGATTTTCGACTCTGATATATCTTACTAACCATGAATAATCATGATTATTAAGTACTTTTTTTCTTATTTTATTTTTTTGTTTATTTTGCGGGGGATTACGTCGCACCAACACAAAAGAGGTCATATGGCGACTTTCCAGCATAAGTGGTAGGATGAGACCTGAGGTGCTCCTCTATGCATTATTTCAGGCACAAGTGAGTGTCTGAGTAAGAACCACAGATGCTCCGTATGTTAGTTGGATAGCTGTCTCGCATGAGAGAATTCGAACCTACAGAGGTGTTGGACAAGTCTTTAAAAATGATCATGAAAATGGAAGACATTCAAATGACAGAATATGTGAATAAATACTGATACAAAGGGAAATGAAATGCGTCTTCTATTGATCGTTATAGAACACTGGTTTATTTTTAATGTTCATACGCCAACATTGTTCATTTTAAAACAACAGGAAGATAAATTCATTCAAGTTACTTTGATTTCCCCCATCAGTGTTAGATATGCTTTTCTAAATGATGTACTAGGAGTAATATCTATGTTTAAATATTGGCATGAGTGGTAATATTCACCGAACGCGGTTCTCCTGCGCATCGTCAAATGTTACGTTATCGTTCACTTTCTTGAGAAGTAACGTGGATGTATGCACCGAGCTGCGAATGGAGCGCACGCACGCGGATACCCGATATAGCCTTACTCCAATCAAATAGGTAGGCAACCGTTCAACGCGTCGACATCCATACTTGTATATACATGTAGGTATAAAAACATAATTGACAGACAGTAAGTATTTATCTATCTTTAACATATCCCAACTGTGTTCGAGTAAATCAATGTTATGGATTCAAAGTCAACATCTACAGGAGCCTGCTCCTGTGCAAGCTTTACTTTACGTGAATTTTGATTAAAAATAACCCTTTTCCGATGAGATGCGGCATTTTTTTTAACAAAAAGTCACAAAAACTTACGTATTCTTATGATAATAAATTATTTTAAGATATAGCTATATAATAATCAATTGTCGCTCAATGACGTTACGTAACTTCCCTTGTTTTGCTTGAATCTATTTCTATAAATAAAAAATGAAGGCCAAAAGGCCGAAAGCTACGGAAAATTCAAATTAGCGTTTTCAAACTAAATAGATAGGCAAATTTAAAACATATTTCAAATAGGGTAAGTGTTCAAAGGGAGATTACTGTTGCGCACAAAATAAAGTTAATTAGAGTAGCCTCCCCTGATAACATTGTAAATGGCATAAGGGTTCAAAAGAGAGCATACTGTTGCGTTAAAAATCTAGACGGTTAGAGTGGCGTCCCCTGATAACATTGCAAATGGCGTGAGGATTCAAAAGGGAGGTTATTGTTGCACTTAAAATCGTGTTGGTAAGAGTGACCTCCCCTGATATCATTGCAAATGGTGAAACGGGTCAAGGGGAGACTACTATTGCCCTAAAAATACAATTGGTCAGAGTGGTCTTCCCTGATAACAATGCAAATGGCGTGAGCATTTAAAGGGAAGTAAATGTTGCGCTCAAACTAAATTCTGTTAAAGTGATCTCCCCTGATTATATTGCAAATGGCATGAGGATTCAAAGGGAGATAACTGTTGCGCTCAAAATAGATTCTGTTAAAATGATCTCCCATGATAACATTGCAAATGGGCTAAAGGGGGATGACTGTTTCACTCGAAATAGTTTCGGTTAAGAGTGACCTCCCCTGATAACATTGCAAATGGCGTAAGGGTTCAAAGGTAGGTTACTGTTTGTTGCGCTCAAAATAAAGTCGGTAAGAGTGAATTCCCCTGACAACATTGCAAATGGGGTAGGGTTCCAAAGGGAGGTTAATGTTGAGTTTAAAATCGAGTCGATAACAGTGGCCTTCCCTGATATCATTGCAAATGGTTAA